TCTCTGTGTGTATATGTATGTGGGTATACGTTTGTATACCTGGTTGATAATGAAAGGGTAACCAACACCCGCTCTTTCCAAAATAACAAATATAACCCTGGATTCTTGCAAATAAAGTATACACTTGCGCTGTGGGAGGGAGTGATAAGATAAACAAGAAGGAGAAAACAGAATAACAGTACACACAAGTAGAGGTAGAAGAAAGAAGAGGACCATATTACTCCCAAGGGGTCATACCTCAATTACCCATATTTAGCCTACATTTAAATATATATATATATATACCAACACATAGACAATGCCCATTGAGGAGGCACTGACTCAAATATTTGGAAACAGCTCACTAGACCTCCTACGTCAGGATGGCAGCACTGTAAAGGCCACTAGTGCACTGTCAGGGAAAAAATACTTGATGTTGTATTTATCCGGTAGTTGGTGTCGGCCCTGTCGACTCTTCACACCACAACTCGCTACATTTTACGAATCCTTTCATGAAAAACTCAACTTTGAGGTTGTGTTCGTTTCGCAGGATCGGGATGCACGCTCCATGCTGGCATACTTCTTCAATCCAAAGTACAGCCGCTCTGCGGTGCGTGGGGGTGAGGGCTCGCATGGAAATTGGCTGGCGTTGCCGTATGAGCAGGCTAGTTCCCTCAGCAGGATGTTAATGTGGCGGCATAAAATCTCCGGCATCCCAACACTGTTACTTTTTGATATGGAGAGTGGGAAACTAATGACCCGCAAGGCACGGGATTTGGTCATGCACACATTGGAGACCGCGGAGGGATTTCCGTGGGAAGAATCTGAGGAGAGTGTGGTGCAAGACTCTGGTTGGCGGCGACAGGTGTTTCTGGGAGTGGTTTTTCTTTTGTTAATGTATTGCTTGTGGAAATAACCCCCAAATATATATATGTATATATATATATATATATGCATACTGTATGTATAATCATTCGTGATCGTCCCATGTTTTTTTTTTTTTTTATTAGTCTGGTCTTTTCCTTTTTTTTCTTCGGATTATGCTATCAGGTTCCTTTTGGCTTGCTTTTCCATATATATATATATATATATATGTATATATTGGTAGTTAATAACATGATGGCTTTTTGTTGAAGGGTAGGGTGAAGAAAAAGAAAAAAAAAAAGAAGGGAAGTCAACAAAGAGAAACAAGGTGAAAACAAGAGCGACAAGTAAAAAAAGAAAAAGAAAAAGGGAAACACCTTGTGATCGTGTGACTTCTGCTCTTTAAAAGAAAAAAAAAATTATCTTGACTTTGATTGCGTAGAAAAACGATGGTACAAGTGTTAGCATCATGACACTTAAACAGAGGTTAACCAGAAAGAGAATGTGATGGTCTCTACATTGTTTCTGCATTCTTTTTTTCTGTTTTTCATCTTCATCTTTCCTTGTTTATATTCCCCTTATATAAAAAAAATATATATATTCTTTCGCGTGTTTGTAGTTATGCATTTATTTGTGTGCTTGGCGAGATCTACTACTAATCTTGTGCGCCTTGATTTCCCACATTGCAAAGAGAAAACGAGGGGAAACATAGAACAGGATGTTTTGAGAAATCGTTGACACGGTAAGAAGTAAATACGGCTGGAAATAATATTTTTATTTTCTACTATTAACCCCGATACCCAATGTGGTTAAGGTTAGATCACACATGTCCCTTTTTTTTTTCTCTTTTTCTCTCTCTTCTTCACACATATATCTATTTATCTATCTAT